TTGGGGGGCAATAACTCTGCCATTTCGATTCCGATCGTCTTGGAGCATGAAACATTTTCGTTTTCTTTTGTCAAGTTGACCCCGAAACAATAGTTACCTTTGCACATTTCACCCGAACCCCGAACCCCCTCCTCCCCTCCAGCTTACGTAAGTAAATACGTAAACCATTAAAAATATCACTTTCGTTCCTTTTCAACGGACACCGGCGAAACTTGGTAATTCGAGTTCCGCAACTCTAAAACTAAAAATTTCACACTCGGTTTGACCATCTGACATCATGATCAAGTGTGAGAGAATCAGAAAGTCTCGAAGTGGACGCTGGAGCCATTTGCGTGTTCGCGCTCTTTTTCCACTCAGTGTAGCCACCACCGAAACAACAACATCTGAAGCTCTCTCTGAGAAAAAGAGGACCATATATTTCAAATTAGTCCGTTGAGAGCGCAAAGGGGACACTGAGACTCCCTAAAATTATCGATGTTGAAGCAAACTTGTATTTTGTCATCGGTGCAGCCGTTTTCCAGAAAAAGAGGAACGCAGACACGGACAGACAGACAGACTCACGACGGAGACATCGCCTGACCCCTCAGCGACTTGGACTGAGCTTCGCTCAGCGATAAGGGGCCGTTCACAAATTACGTCACGCAACTGAGGGGGGGAAGGGGGTCTCTGCCCGCGTGACGGTCCTATCTTAAAAGCATTGGAAGGTTAGGTTAGCCGCGTGACGTAGGGGAGGGGGGGAGTCAAAATCGCCTGAAATTTGCGTGACGTCATTTGTGAACGGCCCCTAAACAATAACCTTTGTTGTCTCTAGATCATACCTCTGGGTCAAGTCCTGATGACTGGGAAGTCAGAGGCTGAGTACACAGCTGTGCTACAACACATACACCAGCTTGTGCCTCTATTCAACCCCACTGTCGTTATGACTGATTTTGAGGTCGGTCTACAGAATGCCTGGAAAACAGTCTTCCCAAATGCACAGGTTGTTGGCTGCTACTGGCATTTTTGCAGGGTATGTTTTTTTAATCCTTTCCATTGTAGCCTTAAAGATATCTGAAACACATATTTAACAAAAGGGTATTAGCTCTAATTCTCTCTCTCTCTAAATAGGCTGTTCTAAAAAAGGCCAGAGAGTTGGGTCTGGTTCCCTTTATGAACCAACATAGAAGGCTGAAGAGCCTCATACGATCTGCATGCGCCTTAGCTTTGCTGCCTAAAAATGTTATGGCTCGAGGGCTCAACACCCTCATTCAGGAGGCCACTAGACGAGGCTACATTCAGCTCCTCAATGGCTTCTTCCTTTATATGATAAACACTTGGATGACAGATCCTCTGTTCTCCACAATGTCCGTTTATGACCAGCCACATAGGACCAACAATGTTTCCGAGTCCTGCAACAGAATGCTGAGGTCAAAAACAGGAGCACACAGGCCAGGTCTTTGGCATTTCATAAGTGAGTAAGAGGAGATAATAGGATTCAGTAAATTGAAAATAATATTCAAGAATAACCTTAAATACTTACATGTCTTTATTACCACATTTTCCAGCTGCACTCCGTCGTCTGGAACAAACTTCGGCCCGGACTCTTCTTGCTGCTCGGCGGTTTGGATTCCAAGTAGCCCGTGCCCGAAAAGTCTCAGCTGTAAACAATGACATTAGAATAAGAAATTACACTGCACTATTGCTCGCTGGAGAAATTAGCATCAACCGTTTCTTGCATTTAGCTTCTACTAGAGTCATGAATGTCTTCGATCAATTTATTGTTTAGTTCTTTCAATTTGCTGGCAACGTACTGCTATTTAGTTCTGTAATTATAAAGGTTT